AGAAATATTATTTGAGTGTTATGCGTCGTTTGCGTGAAGCTATTCGCAAGAAGAGGCCGGATTTATGGAAAGACAATTCCTGGTTTTTGCATCACGATAATGCGCCGTCTCACACGGCATTGATTCTTCGTGAGTTTTTTTTGCCAAAAATTCCACTCATATCGTTCCGCAACCGCCTTATTCACCTGACTTAGCTCCGTGTGAGACTTTTGGCTATTTCCCAAACTCAAAAGACCACTCCGGGGACACCGCTTTGAATCTATTGAAGAGATTCAACGTGAATCGCTGCGCGCTTTGAAGGCTATACCGGGAAACGACTTTTTGGCATGCTTCGAGGCATGGAAAAAACGTTGGCATAAGTGCATTGTATCGGAGGGATTACTTTGAAGAGGATCAAATTGATTTGGATGAATAAATAAAGATTTTTTATTTTATAACAAAATTCACCTTACTTTTTGATCACAGTAGTATTTCTTTCATAAATGAATCCGGCGGCTCATCTATATTTAACATTTCAGCATTAATTCTCAATCATAAAGATTAACATTCAAATTGTCACTTCAAAGTGACTCTTATATTCAATTTTGAAAATGACACTCAAAGGTTATTAAGTCGTTTAAGATTTATATTGAGTGTCATGAGTAAACCGCGATTGGATATTACCACCAAATTCGATGTATAGTATGGTGTATACCCAATTGACACTCAACATTGATGCTCAATGCTTAACTGACATTCAATATTGAGTGTCTATATCAAGGCAACATCAAATACAATATTTATGATCACTCTCAACTGACACCCAACATTTATTGTTCAACACTTAAGTGACACCCAATGTTGACGGTCAACACTCAACTTTGATGGTAAACACCTAAATTTGAGTGTTAACACAATAAATTGAGGGTTTTGTTCGTAAAGGATTTTTTTTAAATTAAATAGAATGATGTCTAAGACTTTCTCTGTTAGACAGAGCCTCAAAGATACTGTACAATCCAAGAAAATAAAAAAGTTCTTAACTTCCGAATCTATTATCAATTTCAAAGCCGGGTAGAGAGTCATAGCTTCAGCCGTGAAAATCGAAGATAAGTCATAAAGTCAAATATCTTATAGCTAAAGATAAACTTCTCATTAGTGGACCAACTGGCCATTCCCACTAGCGCTATCGTTTGATTCCGTTCTTGAATCATCCGTAAAAATGAAGGTGTTAGATATGAAAGGCATCTTGGAATAACGCGTTGGCATGTTCGACTCTTTGATTCTTTCACCACTTAGGAGATATTGAAAGCAGTAAATTGGTTCTTAAAGTTTAACTAGTAGTACACACTGATTTGGAACTTATAAATAATATTGCCCATATTACCGATTTCTTCATATTTACAGACTAGCATAGATTTATTGAAATTATTGGAATGTAAAGGGTGTTCCGAGCTCTTTTTGTCTTCCTCAAGATCCAACAACGAAAGATAATCACGAGCCATTCTTCTTAAGAGAAATTTACAATACAGTAGTTCAAATCTGTATACTAACAGTAGAAATTTTGACTCTTCCGTTATCACATTTATGGCAGTCAAATTCCTATATCTCATTGCTAAGCGAAGACATTTTAATTGGATTTTTTTGAGCTTATATATTTGCTTAGGGCTACAAGACTAAAGAAGGAAACCATTATACTCTATCTTTGATCTAATTAATATATAGGGTGCGGCAGAGAAACTTACTTTTTTTAAAGGTTAATAAAAACGAAACTATTGCAGATATCGGTATAATTCTTTTTTCCTCTTACAGATCACCTCATCAAATTTTTTTTCATGCACTTTTGAAAATTACATCTATCAAATGACGGCCGCCGTTGTCTATGCACTGATTGAGTCGATTTCTGAAGTTTTGCGTCACTCTCTGAAGCATGTCCACCGGTATTTCGGCGATGGCGTTCCGAATGTTTGTCTTCAGGTGAGCTAGGGTCTCTGGTCGATCGTTGTAAACAATAGACTTCAAATAACCCCATAGGAAGAAGTCGCATGGAGTCAAGCGCGCTCGAAAGGCACGTTGAGTGGCGACAATGGAGCGGCCATTACCGCGCCAAAACGCGCGATGCTCTCTTGTCCAAAGCATGATCGAGACTGGCTGTGGGGGGAACAATAATTGAGGACCTATCCTTTCGGACGCACCCCCTCCCAGCTTCCTATCTTCACCCCTTGCCGTTTGGCGCGTTTTTAAAAAAAGTAAGTTTCTCTGCCGTACCCTATACTATATAGTGTTAACATACCATCTGATCAAATTTGACCCAGACTGGTTAAAAAAAACAACAATTTTATGTATTTTAATACAAATCTTTATGATCGCCTTCAAAATAGCCTCCTTCTGAGCCAATACAAGCACGCCAACGATTAATCCAATTTTCCATACACTTCTTATAGGCCTCGGCCGGGATGGCCTTTAGTTCCTTCAGCGAATTTCTTTTTATGGCCTCAATCGATTCATGGCGCGTTCCCCGGAGCGGATATTTGAGTTTCGGAAACAGAAAAAAGTCACAGGGAGCCAAATCTGGCGAATACGGTGGCTGAGCGATGACTTTTATTTCGTGTTTGGCCAAAAATTCAGTCACAATCAGGCTGGAATGTGACGGCGCATTATCGTGGTGAAAAATCCATGAATTGTCTGCCCACAAATCCGGCCGTTTACGACGAATTGCTTCACGTAGACGCCTCAAAACGGCCAAGTAGTATTCCTTATTGACCGTTTGACCCTCTGGAACGAATTCATGGTGAACCACACCACGGTAATCGAAGAAAACGATGAGCATCGTCTTGATTTTCGACCGACTTTGACGTGGTTTTTTCGGCTTCGGTTCATTTTTGGCGCGCCACTCGCTAGATTGTTGGGCAGTTTCGACGTCATATTCATAAACCCACGTCTCGTCACCAGTAATGACGCGTTTGATGAATAAAGGGTCATCAGTTACATTGGCAAGCATCTCTTCTGCGACCTCTACTCGACGTGCTTTTTGCAAAAAATTCAGGTCTTTCGGTACGAGTCTGGCGGCGATGCGCTTCATATCCAAAACATTAACCAAAATATGTTGAGTCGATCCATAAGAGATGTTGAGAGCTTCTGCTATCTCTCTAATGCCAACACGACGATTTTCAAGCACAATTTCCTTCACTTTTTCCATGTTATCGTCGTTAACAGAGGTGGATGGACGACTCGCATGAGACAAGTTTTCTACAACCTCACGACCCTCACTGAATGCTTTATGCCACTCAAATACTTGCGTTTTCGATAGAGTAGACTCCCCAAAACACTTCTGCAACATTTTCAATGATTCCGTAGCCGTAATTCCATTGGAAACACAAAATTTCAAGCAAACTCGTTGTTCAATTTTTTTTT